CCTGATTGTTGTATCTTGATCATTTATTATACTCATGTAGAAGCATGAAAATATAAATAGTTGTCGAATTATTTTGAATATTTTGAATATATGCAATATTTTGAATACTGAATGTTTACATACGGACTTCATGTACCCTACCTTTAAACACTGCATTCGCTTAGTTATTCAGCAAGTTTATTCTCAACTTAGTGGGTTCTTTAATTTTCAGTATAGTATATAATTTACAGACCCTCTGTTCGGGGGATTCGGTGAATATCATCACTTCGGATAATATTTCGCCGAACCCCTTATTCCGCGTCTATAAACGATAAAATTCTTATTCAAGTTTTCTATATCATGAACAAATTTACGATGTACAGAAGGAGCGATAATTTGAAATGTTTCTCTATCGTTGACTACTTTTTCACATTAACTCAAGTTTAAAAAAACATGTGAGGAATCGGGCACAGCAGAGGAGGCAGATGCTGTTGCAGAGGTACCGCATAGCTTTGATACTTTATTAAACACAATCTTGTACTCTGCACGAAACCTGGAGCTGCACATCCCATACAGCGCTGGATTGACACAACTATTACAAAAGGTCGTCATTACAAATGAATTATGTAGGATACTTTTTGTACTGAGGTAACCATATTTTGATAGCATGAATGTGATCCGGCCTGGAAGCCATCCGATAATCAGAGCTGCGCATGCCAACATTGCTACAACTGTGATCTTCTTCAGCTGGGGATCACGATTTGAAGAAATCTGAGGTAAACTCTTCATTCGGAAATAGATATGAGTATACAACACTACCATAGTAGTGTAAGGAATGATAGACTGCACTGTTAAATCTATCCATGGAAACACTCTCGCTGCAAAAGGGAAAGGCGTCCATCTGCAGAGATTTTTATCAGGATCGTACTCTATTCGCAAGAAAGTTGTGGTGTTGACCGCTATACCCCAGAACCACACAAGGATTACAGCTACAGCAGCGTGTTTCGGTTTCAATGAGCGATATGTTTTTGGTTTGACAACAGCTATCCAGCGTTCGATAGTCAAAGATACGCAGGTGAATATGGAAATATAACCCATATCGAAGGCAAACCATCCTGACCAGATTGTCATACAGAATATTTCAGCAGCAGTTTCGCTGTCGCTTGGAATTGGAGGCAGGTACATGAAACGACTAGAAAATTTGATAATGGTTCAGTATGAAAATCACATGAAACAAAGATAAAAAAACTATAAATGAACGTTAAAAACATTGAAATGAAACACGACAGGCTCGCACAAGCGCAGATTGCAGACGCAGTTAGTGCGTTGTACCTTACAGTTTAGGTGATCTGCTACTCGAGAGGTCGAGGATCGATAAGGACAGTACCTCAAATTTGATGTGCTCGAAAACCCATGTTAGTACAGAGTTATAATTGTTACTGTGTTGTGCTTTTAAGGTTTTCTTCCCTCACCCATGTGAACTCATCCTTTCACCTTATTTTTTCTCCGATACATGCGCCATATATTGCCAGGCAGATGTGCTCTAGTAATTCAGCACTCAAGAAAAATGTGGAACACACAAGCGCCGCTCGCAGGAAATGTTAAACAACTGCAGGAAATTTGTTAAGTTGACGCTTGCAAATTGAGATTCTGAAGGTTGACGGACACCTTTCCTAGAATTTAACACCATGGCTAGTAGCTAGGACACTATGTTCAGGCGCGGATTTGGCTAAGTATCGATCTTATTCAGCCCTGAATGCATGCCATCTCTACTTTAATATTATAGAAATAATGAATGTTTACGAGTGCAATGGTAAAAATATTTTTTATGAGGTGAAAGATGGAATTTTCCATTCCGCGTTAAATACCCGAAAAAATATATTTCAAATAATGTTTGAGTGAAGAGTTAATGTAATAATGGCATTCATTTAACCCGACATTATCGTAAATAATATTTTTACTAATTTTTTCACCCGCCATTTTGATTCGCATAAATTCATATGCATTTGAATTTAATTCCATCCGCCTCATCATGAAGATTTCGGTTACATGAGCTACGATTAGGAAACAATCAAGATTTTGACGGACGGAACGTGTTCCATTGCACGCTCAGCAAAAGTATAGTAATTTTTATTCCATATCACGTGATCATAATCAGCCAATGAAATTACCAAAATCTAATGAGGTGTTATATATAAACGCTACTAATACACTCCTTACCTGAAAATCAAGAAGATGGCAGTTAGAAAATCGACAATCGCCAGGTTCAAGATGAAGATACTATAAGGTTTATTGAGAAAGGTTTTTCGTCGAGAAAACAAGACATAGATCACCAGAGAATTTCCTAACAAGGCAATGACGACGATCAATGAAAAAATCAAATAATGGATCCAGCTCCTTTCAATCACCATGATGAAAGATAAACTCTAGCTATAAAGATAGAAATTGTTAATGGTAAAATGTTACGTTTTTAAAAAGAAATGTGCTCTCAGTCCAACTTTAAACTAAATGTATTCGTTAAGGTTTCCTGACTGCATGGATAAATCATTTCTGCGCTTATGGGACGACATTATGTAAACATGGCGTCTTAGAAATATTTTTGTGTCAATTAAGAGGCCATTTTTTTCAATATCGCGACAGTTGCGATGAAAAGCGTTAGAAAACTAAAATCGTTCAAAATTAAATTTTTTGGCCTTCTTCTCAAAATTATTTTGTTTTAGCACATCAGATATGGCGGTTGAGAAACACAAAAAAATAGTTAAATATTTTAAATACAATCATTATAGTAGTATAGTAAAACTTTATTTAACCACGCTTCCCTCATCACACATGGATGATTTTCATGAGGGGCGTCACAAATTACATTCTAAAAACTAATATAAATTAAATATGAAATGGAATAACATAGAATAACAAATACGTAGATAAAAAAGTTAAAAAAACCAAGACTATTCGCTGCCTGACTCTGTAGCACACATTATTTTATCAAATTTTTGAAGCTACTTAAAGATTCTGTTTGCTTTGCCTGCGTAGGTAAACTATTCCATAGAACAGCCCCGCTATATCCAAAACTCTTTGATTGATGCTGTACTTTGATTGATGCTGTAAATGCTGCTAAACTTTGATTGATGCTGTAAAATTGACCACATGCTATTTATACAGCAATATATAAGCAAAACTTACTAAACTTCAGACATAATTTTCTCTTTAGCGTACCATCTAAAATCTCTTCATTTTAGCACATTTTACAGATAAAGCACTAAACATACTTTTTAAGTTTATTTGCCGCTTGAGAAACGTATAAAAAAGTTGAATATAGTCATATTAAACCAAGTGGAAAGTATATTCATTAGTTTTGAGCGCGTGTTACGTAACTTCTTCTCCTCTTAAACAAATTGCATGCACCTCTTATTACGACTTTCATAGTGTCTGTTTATAGATCTGCTACTGTTTATTTTTTGTTTGTATTTTCCACTATGCATGTGCCATTCAGCACCATGTTCGAGTTCAAAATCGGTAAAATATCCATCCTGCATGTCGGGTGGGACAAGCGTTATTGAGTTATTGTCTCAATAAGACGAAGATTGACGAGTTGAGCTCATTTTAGATAATTTAACATCCAATTTTAATTCCCTCCTGGGAATTGTTTATGTTTCGTTTTCCATGCAATTCCCAACGGTGGAAGAATGTGATTTCGACCAATTTTTGTTTGACGAGTGTGTGGCCATTTCTTATTGTTACGATTTAAAAATAGTATCATTGAAAAGCTAAATAACTGTTCTTTCGTTCTGTGGAAAAATTGAATTGTTTAGCCACGTTTATGATGCACGAGATCCTGTTGAATTTCCATAGCGTTTTTTTAGACTCCCTGTATAACAACATGCAGAAGTCCTATACATGCATGGTTTCTCATTTCCCCTAGAGATGAAATACTAGAACAAGCAGCATTTATAACATTTAATATTATTTCGATTAAAAACGAAGAAAGCAATATAAATTAAACATGTGTAACTACGAATACAACTGTTTATTTGAACAACATGAGATGAAATAAATTTATAAAATGTATCTTACCTTTTTCCAAGATATTATAAAATGTTTTTCAGTTCTTTTACGATGGGGGCTCTGAATTTATATAATGCTCTGAATAATTGCGAGTAATATTACATATACAGTATATATAATGATATTGAGCTGTATGGACAATAAGACATATAGATATATGAAGTGTAAACGGATGAAAATGATTGATGCTAGACATGTTAACGTCACAGATGTGCGTAATACGATTTGTGTAATATTGCCTATGACATATGCAATAACACAGATGTACTAAGTGTTATTATCTCACAGTGTATGCATGTGCTATATTTTCAGGGCTCACTATCGTTGCAAACTACTTGTTACATTTGTTGTAGAAGGTACGGAATTGACAGCAATACTTGTTTCTGACATTTTGGCAAGGCCACTAGGCCCACTAATTGACCTGGAACAGTGCTCTCATACTTTCCACTGCCAAGAATTTCTTAGATCATCGATAAAGAATTCCTCAGATTCAGTAAAATTTCCTTAAACGTGCATGGGCAGGGCCTGTTTTTTTTTTTCAATTAATGGCCTAGAAGTCTTGAGAATTACAATGTTACAGATTCTCCGAATTTTTGTCTCATTTGGAAATTGGAATCTTGTGCAGTGTCGTCGAAAGGAATTTTGCATTGTTGATCAAGGAATGTCTTCGTTAGAAGGTTTTTGCTGTTCTGAATGCCCAAGGCTGCATTTTAAACAGATCGAATTTGGCCGGCTTTGTTCAGTGTTGACGTTTCTGATATTGAATAAATGACCGCGTCTAAATGTCAAAAACAGCTATTGCTATCAATCCTTTTGCGTGAGGTGGTCAGGGGTGTAGCCAGCCCCGAACGAGTGGGGGTCTCTCTCCATCTATTTTTAGGGCTATTTCATGCTTTTAGACACGTTTATGATATAGAGGATATTAGACGGTTGCGAAGAGATATGGATTTTATGTTCGAGTGGCAAAAACAATATCGTTTTTGACAAGAGAACATAAATCCATATATATTCTCGCAACCGTCTAATGTTCTGTTTATTATATGGACTTATTCAGAGTGACAAAAATACACACAAAGACAACATATAAATAAGCACGCGAAAGACCAGTGTAAAAGCTATAATTTTTAAAATTATAGTGCAAACATAAAACTAGAATAAATTTTACTTATCTCAAGATGTCTTTTAAATGTTTTCGTTTTATTTCCAACGTTAATTTCGTTTTAAATACGAACCAAAGACCATTCGGCATTTGTATTTTCAAAACAACAACAATGAAAATGGCGGGAAATTTTCGAACTTCGTATGTCACTCGCAGGGGTGAAATACGGAAAATACGTGCACCTGGTCCCGGATGTAGTGACGTATGAGTTCTATACGAGTGTTTTAGCTTCCAGTAAAACACCATTGTCCATATAATAAAATCTGATAGCCACAGATTTGGCATATTTTATGTCATAGATTAAAACATTAAGAGGTTACACCCTCAGTTTCTCTTCAGTTATGAGAGAATCAAAAAATTGGCCCTGAAGAAAAGTGTCGGGGGAGCGGGGTGGCCGGACCCCATTCCCCCCGTGGCTACGCCTCTGGAGATCGTCGCGTATCACGTAAAACTGCTGTAATTACGAAACAAAAGAACGCCGGGCATTTGTTCAGCTGAGAAAAATTACAAATTCCTTTAATTCTGAAATCTTTCATAAATGGAATAAATGTTATTTACCATCGAGAAAAAATATAAAAGCGTTCAAAATGCAAACACAAAAGGTGTTATATTTCTGTGGCTGTTATCAGGGGCGGCGGAACAGGGGGGGCTAGGGCGGCTAAAGCCCCCCCAGAAGTAAAGGTGGGGGGGGCTTAGCCCCCCCAGAAAATTTGAATTTTTGGAAAAAATTTTGATAATTAGGGAAAAATTTAGGTTATTTTTTTGAAAATTTAGGTATAAGGGGACAAATAGCCCCCCTGTTCCCAATTTAGCCCCCCTGTTCCGCCGCCGCTGGCTGTTATACGACCATTATTTCTCATGTACCTCCACCTTTCGGAATTCGGATTCACAATTTTCTCCGGTATCGGTGGCAATCTTGGTTAATTAACAATTACTGACATAAAACGTAATAAAAACTGCTTTAATGTTCTATAGACAGTTTTTTGTGTACGTTTCAACCATGCATCTTATTTTCTCTGTGAACTACCTTGGAATTTTAAAATTTCTATCAGTAATATAGAAATTTATATTCAAATGTCAGAAATTCGGAATTTTTAGCTATCAGCGTTAATTTCACAGATGCCTGCATTGATATTCATACTTGTGTCAAAGTCTACACATACGGTCAATATGGTGCTTTCTTCACTAACTGCACAATTATTGCAAAATTGTGCGCTTATCCGCCCCACTATTCCCAGGAAAATTCAAGAGCAGATTTACATTTCTATATATAAATATCTTGATTTAGTTTCCTACAGTTAGAGTGCAGTTTTCAACTAAGATGAATGCGATATATTTTAGGTTCGACAACAGCTATCCAACGTTCGATAGTCAACGATAAGCAGGTGAATATGGAAATATACCCGAATATTTCAGCAGCTCAACTGGTGTTGGAGGTAAGTAGAGGATACTAACTCTTTAAATCCAAAAAGGTATGAGTTTGATGCAGAAGTTGTGCACGCGCGGCACATGACAAAAAACGCAATTAATCACTAATGTGTCTTGCTGAACAATATACCTAAAACAGAAGCGACAATATTTATTAACGTTCAGTTAATTTTGTTCCCTATGGTGGCTATGGCAGTTGGGACTTTCAATTTAAAATTCAGAATTTTAAAAGCAATTTCAGTTTCAGTAGTTGTGCACCCAGTTGCCGGCATCGGCGAAAATGTTTTTATTTGTTTCGTATTTGGTTCTTTTCCTTTATAATCGGATACAAAAATTGGATAGGTGAAAACCTAATGTTTGTTGCTGTTTAAAAAAATTGTCGATGAACTCAATATTTAACGCACTGAAACAGGCTAAAGTCGGACCTCTTTCTTGATACACCCTATACCTGTATATCTGGTAAAAATTTACAATGCACTCTTCTCATAGGCTTACGAGTTACACGGGGGGGGGGTTAAGAGGGCGGAAAAAAATTTGTTCGATGTTGATGGATATTGCCGTGTCGATGGGAATCATGCGCTTAATATGAATAGAAGGTAAATCGTGTGGAAATACCAAGAACATTGTAAATCAAAGAACCATAAAACTATTTACGAGTATTTCCTGCATTTCATATTTAAGATACTATAGCTATATACGTCGAAAGAGATGCTTTTAAATAACTGCATCAAAATGATGTTATATTGAATATGTATAAGATATTCAGGCGTGATGCCAAAACTGACGTGTTGAACTGCATGTTAGCCAACGAGAGTAAAAAGTTATACAATTATATGTAAATGGCAAATATAGTAAAAAGAAAGCCGGAACACGATCGCTTGCCTCGTCGATTAAAAACACTAATCAATGCTATATGCTAATCAATAATGCTATTGCAATTTCTCTTACTAACTATTCTCGTATGTTCCAAGTGGTAACAAACCTTGAACGGAATCATACACTGTACACAGTTTCAATGCTTTATTAAACACAGTCTTGTACTCAGTTCGAAACCTAGCTGGTACTATATAATTAATGTATGTTACATTCAAGTATTCTATATCATGCACACATTTACAATGTACAATAGGAGTTAACAAGTTTGAAATGTTCCTCGATTGTGTTGCTAAGGATTCCACAGGATTCAACTGAAATCTTACATATCATGCATGAATTTACAATGCACTTCATGTTGGTAAATCCTATTCAAATTTCCTATATCATGCACAAATTTACAATGTACAATAGGAGTTAACAAGTTTGAAATGTTCCTCGATTGTGTTGCTAAGGATTCCACAGGATTCAACTGAAATCTTACATATTATGCATGAATTTACAATGCACTTTGTTGGAAAATCCTATTCAAATTTTCTATGTCATGCACAAATTTACAATAGGAGTTAACAAGTTAGAAATGTTCTTCGATTCAACTAAAATCTTACATATCATGCACGAATTTACAATGCACTTTGTTGGCTAATTCCTGATGGCTCATTGGAGTTGACTGAGGAGTCGGGCACAGCATAGGAAGCAGATGATGTTGCAGAAGTACCGCATAGCTTTGATAGTTTATTAAACACAATCTTGTACTCCGCACGGAATTTGGAGCTACACATCCCGTACAGCACTGGATTAACACAACTATTACAAAAGGTCGTCATGACAAATGAAGTGTGTAGGATACTGTTTGGATGGACGTAACCATACTTGGATAACATGAATGTGATCCGGCCTGGAAGCCAACCGATAATCAGAGCCGAGCATGCCGACAGCGCTACAACGGTTACCTTCTTCAGCTGGGGATCACGATTTGAAGAAATCTGAGGTAAACTCTTCATTCGGAAATAGATATGAGTATACAACACTATCATAGTAGTGTAAGGAATGATAGACTGCACTGTTAAACTTATCCATGGAATCACTCTCGTTGCAAAAGGCAAAGGCGTCCATCTGCAGAGATTTTTATCAGGATCGTACTTTATTCGAAAGAATGGTGTGGAATTCACCGCTATACCCCAGAACCAGACAAATATCACAGCTACAACAGCGTGTTTCGGTTTTAATGAGCGATATGTTTTGGGTTTGACAACAGCTATCCAGCGTTCGATAGTCAACAATACGCAGGTGAATATGGAAATATAACCCATATGGAAAGCATTTTGTCCTGACCAGACCAGCAGACAGAATATTTTAGCAGCAGTTTCGCTGTAGGTTGGCGTCGGAGGTAAGTAGAGGAAACGACTAGAAAATTTGATAATGGTCATGAGTATTACAGGATAAGAAGAGAAGAGAAGGGAGGTGCCTTGCATGGGATTTCTATATATAGCCTCGTTCGCACCTTCCCTTTTGGGCCAGTTGATATTGCACTCATTATTTTAAAGTAATTTATGGCACCAATAGAGTTGTTAAATGAAATGAAACTTACTGATTCAAGCAATAACGTAGCCAGGGGGGGGGGGCTTCTGCCCCTTCCCCCATTGGGCAAAAGGACTCACTGCCCTTGTGAAAAGCTAAAATCCTTGCAAAAATAGGGGGAGGGACGATATGTGAATAATGATACCCATGTCTTCTGTTTGCCAATAAAGGTTGTGGTCTTCCCTATTTACAATCCAATCATGATGAGTCTAACAGGATAAACATACTCAATGGTTTATCTCTTTATAATAAGTCGATATTGTCATTCTCGGTTGCACTCATAACATCCTGCCTTTATTTTACGCTACTACTACACGCATACCTTACCTGAAAATCAAAAAGATGGCAGTTAGAAAATCGACAATTGCCAGGTTCAAAATAAAGACACCATAAGGTTTGGTCAGAAAGGTTTTTCGTCGAGAAAACAAGACATAGATCACCAGAGAATTTCCTAAGAAGGCAATGACGACGATCAATGAAAAGATCAAATAATGGATCCAGGTCCTTGTAATTTCCATGATCAAAGATAAACTAAAGATAAAAATTGTTAAGCTCAAGTTAAACATGATAAAATGTTACGATTTTAAAAGACGTGTGTTCTCCAAGCTTTACAAAGCCTTGTTTACGCTATCAAACTTTCTTTACAGTTTTAATCTGGTACAGTTTCATTGTGTGTAAAATGTTCGATGAAGTCTCTTTAAAAGATTTTACTTTTTAAATCGAAGTAAGCAATATACATGTAAATTCAAATGTAATTGCATGCAAGTACAAAATTAATGAGAATTACGAAAATAGAGTATATTTATGAAATTAATCTTACCTTCTTTCTCCAAGATATCAAATGTTTTTTACCTCTCACGATGGGGGCTCTGAATTTATATAATGCTCTAAGTAATTGTGAGTGATATTAGATTTCTATCATGATATAGAGCATACAGTTTACGTAATAGGACATAGATATCTGAAATTTAATAATGAAAATTAAAACGATTGATCACTAGACATCTATTAGCTTTATAGTTCATGTAATATGGGCCATATAATAGCACAAAGGTAAAATGAGTCACTATATCATCGTCTCTTATTTTCTTAATGGACTGCAACCATTAATCAATAACTGCCAAGAAAAATGCTATGCTAGCAAATTTACATTTTTAGATTTCTTGAGTTAAGGAGTATAGAGTTAGCAACTAAGATTTTGTTAACTGTTTAATTTTATCAAAAACCAACAATGTAACATTTTGAAGCTTTTCAAAAGAATATTGCTTTAAAAATGACAACAATTTAAGTGTTCGTTTGAGTGGTGTCCGACAAGGCTCGAATCCAGGTCCCATCTTTTCTAAGCTGGTTTTCCACAAGGGAATTTGTTCGTGCGTAGCGACTTTTTCCTTTGTCGGTATCGCTTTTGCTGACTTGTAATAACGGCCTACAATCACTATTATGCAATTAGCTCTGCATATCCTTTAGGGATCGAGAGTTAAATAAAGCATTGTATTGTAATATATTATACTGTAAATCGTTTGTACTAAAACTAATTGATGCGCAGAGAATGTGAAGGCAGAATATAGATAATTTATCTGTAGGTGCAAATGGCAGGCATGCATGCATTAAGGGACCGGTCATTATTTTGGCACCGAAGAGAAATGTTTTTAGTGGCAAAACTTTTACTGATCCAACCATTAAAAAGTCAAAAATTTGATTACCCAACCTCAAATATCAATTAAAAAATAAATGCTCATTCAGTTGGCACACATGTCCTTTATCGCTTCTGTGACACGAGTTTGATAACGGCTTGTGAAATTTTCTCCAGTCTAAAGTTTCATGTTGTCTGCACATGTACTTTCTTTGCACATTGTATTGACATATGACTGTTGACATTGCTTTTTAGTCTTCAATATTTCAGTGAGTCATGCTTTGGAAATGATAATAAATTTTAAATACCCAACTCTTGAGTCGTTTTGTTTTTCATTTACCCAACCTTTTTCTCACTCAAAATTTTGTTTACCCAACCCTTTTCTCTTCGGTGCCACCCCCCGCCATAAATAATGACCTCTACCTAACTGGAGGAAGGGATGCAAGGGGTAGCCTTGGAAAAGGGAGCAATGGCGTAGCGACGACATTGTCGTTAGGGGGTGCAAGCTAGGGTCCAAATTACCTGATTTCTAAATTACATTTTGTGTTGTTGTACAGTTACAGGTTTTTAAATTTAGGATGGTTTATGTAATATCGGCCATGTAATAACACAAAAGTAATATTAGTAGTTATACTATATAATTATCCGTTATTTTCTTAATACTCTTATAATTATTAATGGGACAGCAACCATAAGTCAATACTGCTAAGAAAAATTCTATAAACCAGCAAATTTACCTTTCTAGATCTCTCGATTTAAGGTTTCGTTAACTGTTTAAGAGTGGATATTTTTGTATGTTACGTGACACGCGCTCAAAACTAACTCGACATAACACCACTTCGCTAAAATTTTTAATTTTTTAACTTAAAAGGTATGTTTAATACTTTGCTAGTAAAATAATTCTTAAATGAAGAGATTTTAGATAATATATATATACGCCAAGGAGAAAGTGCTGTGTGAATTTCAATAAGTTTTGCTTATGTTTGGTACATTAGCTATTAAATTTGGGGCTATTAAATCTTGAAAATTTTGAATATTTATAGACCCTCGGAATGTCAACGTTTGCCTGTCAGCGCTCTTATAATTTACCTAAAAATCAGCTTACAGTTGATTTCACGAAACTTTAGCCACGCCAATTGCGAGGTTGGTTGGGAATTTGGGAACTATAAACACGAGATCATCAAGTTGATTGGAAACCGGCCAATCAAATTCGAAAGTTTCGCATCAAGTTATCGAAATTCGTTATGAAATTCCGAACCAAGTTTGCAAGCAATTTCGCAAATTGCAAACGATTTTGACGGTAAATTTTAAAAACTAAACTTATTGTATTAAACTTATTATAATTTTAAACCTGAAATTATTATCATTATGATATTATTTATTATTAAATGAATAAGTTTAATACAATAAGTTTAGTTTTTAAAATTTACCGTCAAAATCGTTCGCAATTTGCGAACTTGCTTACGAACTTGGTTCGGAATTTCATAACGAATTTCGATAATTTGATGCGAAACTTTCGAATTTGATTGGCCAGTTTCCAATCAACTTGATGATCTCGTGTTTATAGTTCCAAAATTCCCAACCAATCTCGCAACTGGCGTGGCCAAAGTTTCGTGAAATCAACTGTAAATCACTTAAAATTTCTGAAATTACCACACAGAATGAGATTGTTAATATTATTGCGAATGAAATTTAGGTTTTTAACTGAGATTGTCACACAGAATATTTCACTGCAGTTTCCCTGTAAGGTAGCCTGCGAACAGGCTCTCAAGCTGAATTGAGAGCCTGCATCGATGACTAATGAATTTGAATATCTGCGTCTCAAATCGTGACGCGAAATTCTCATTGGTCAGATGCTATAATTTATATGTTTTCGCTGAGCTCTATATATGTCAACTGCTGAAGCACTATGGCTGCATAAAGAACACATTAACTGATCAAATTGGTCTTGGCCATCTTATCTCAAAGCACGAAATGTTCTGTTTTGAGAAAACAGTATTTAAAACATTTAAACTTTTGCTTGAATATCTTATATTTCGAAAAACAGTATAAACTGTACGGTCTAAATTTAGTTTGCACGAAAGTTGTAAACAACACCATATAAGGATAGACATTCCATATTTGGAAAAACGAACGTTACGGGCAGATATTCAAATTCATTAGTCATCGATGCAGGCTCTCAATTCAGCTTGAGAGCCTGTTCGCAAGCTACCTGTAAGGTGGAATTGGAGGCAGTTGAAACGACTAGAAAATTTGATAATGGTCGTAAGTATTGGAGGATAAAAATAGTGAACATTGAATACTTTATTGAAGTGGAAGATGGCAGCACGGTGCTTATATTGAGGTCAGTGCAAAGAGCGCGCGGGCGCTCATCGACGTGTGATGCGGAAGTAGCCTGGGGCGAGCACGTTTTTGGCGAAAACCGGAAGAAAAAGTTGATTCTGATATGCTTAGTGACCTTAGTTCTTGTCGCCATTTTTAGCTCAACCTTTTTACTGTGTGATTACAAGCTAATTTAATTAATAGC